CCGTGTTCACCGCACGGGGAAGCTCCCCTACTCGGTGCCGACGAAGATTAGCAGTTCAGCAGCAGCAGCAGTAGCTGTAGCAGCGAGAGTAGTTCATCCTGAAAAGCCAAACAACTCACGCACAACACTACTGGGAGCAGTAGCACCGCAAAATGTACAGAACACAGTTTCCCAAGTATCCCACTCACAAATTTACAAAGCACTCACAATATTATTAGAGTAACATCATATTTGTGTATGTGTGGGTATATATGTTTGTGTGTGTTTGCGTGTGTGTGAGTGGGTGTGTATGTGTGTGTGGGTGTTTATGCTTGTGTATGGGTGTGTATGTGTGTGGGTGTTTGTGCTTGTGTGCAGGTGTGTATGTGTGTGTGGGTGTGCATGTTTGTGTGGGTGTGTATGTGTGTGTGGGTTTGTATGTGTGTGTGTGTGTAGGGGGAGGGGGAGTTTGTATGTGTGTGTCTGTGTGTGAGTCTGTATGTGTGTGTGGGCGTGCATGTATGTGTGTAGGTGTGTATGTGTGCGTGAGTGCGTATATGTATGCGTGTTTGTGCATGTATGAATGTGCATGTTATGTGTGTACGCTTGTGTATATGTGTGTGCGTGTGTATTTTTGTGCGTCTGTTTGTGTGTATGCGTATGTGTGTACGTAAAAACACAAACATATACATAATTGTATGTATTTACATACACACGTATGTATGCGTTTGTATGCATGGGTTTATCCGTGTACGTATAATTTTGCATATGTCTGCATGTGTGTATGCGTGTTTATGTACTTGTGCATGTGTGTGTATATCGTGGGTGCTTGTGTATGCGTGTGCGTTTTTATATGTTATTTGTTGGGTGTGTTTGTGTGGGGGCGTATACGTGAATGCGTGGGTGTATGTGTTTGCGCGTTTGTGTACTTGTATATGTATATATAAATACGTATAGTACAGGTGTTTGCGTACGTGTGTGGGTGTGTTCCTCCACGTATGTGTAGGTGCATATGTATTGTGTGTGGGTGTGTGTGTGTGCGTGTATATGTGTGTGTCCGAATAGTTTATTCTCAGAATTACGAAAGCTACGATACTCAAATTTGCGAATATATTCGTCGAACGTGCGCAAGTTCATAAGCTAACAAAAGAACTCACAATTTCCTTTGCTATTGTGAATTACAATTTCAACTGTAAATTTTGATTTCGCTATTCGAAAATCAACAGGACAGTGAATTAGACGTTTCTGCAAACAAGCAGATTGACACGAATGGTCCAAAATCAGGTCTCTGCTTATATACTGACCAATGGCTATTACTGCACTTTCAAGCCGGTACTGTCATTTCAAAAAAAAATTTTCTTCCGATGCAAAGTTTTTCCCCGTCCACCGATCAGTGGTTTATTCACGAAGAAAGCAGAGCAGATACCTTCTTCGCCTCTCACAAGTCACTAAAATCAGCCCAAAAAGTGTCAAAAGCTGAAATAAGCATCAAAAATGCAGAAAAGCACTGAATTTAGTCAAAAAATGTGAGATTTGGAGAAAAAAAAGAAGCGAGGAAATCGACTAGAATTTGCGCCAAAAAGTAAAAAAAAAAGTACCAGCAAGCCAGCACTCGGCACTAAATGTTACAAGCGCAGATCGGCTCGATCTTAATTATTCCATTGAAGAGCGGCAAATCCGGGTAGACGGTGGAAATTACCGTGACGCGGGAGTTGGGCATCTCACCCCCATAGATTAATACCTTAGCATAAAGTTTGAACATGCTCCACTGCATACAGTTGTTGTTGCTGTTGTTGTTGTTGCTGCTGTGCGATGTTGACAATGACGACAGCAGACTGTTCACGTCGGCCATTCACCGAACAAACGTGGCTGCGTGTTCCGGGAGTTCTTAGCTGTTCCGCGGCGGAGCGAGCGTGCAAGAAACGTCGTTCAGATTGGAGGGATTGGAACGTTCGGCGGGAATGTATATCAGAACATCGTTCCTCTCAATCGAACAGAAGCAGTGGCGGCGACAGCAGCAGTAGTGGCAGCATCAGTACCACGGTATCTGTTATCCATCAATGCAATATTGCAGCTATCACAACCAGAAATAATGGATGGTACTTGCTCTGAACAGTGTGGCCTACTGTCGCTTCCTCTCTCTCTTTCTCTCCTGCTGTACTGTAGTGCAGCTGTGACTGCGCAACCTTCAACAGAGCAAAAAAAAAATAA